ATAAGCCTAAGGAATTTTAGGAACTCATTTGCTTAAAATATGTGGAAGGCAACATTACACTTATATTAGAATTTGTTCTAATCTTTTTGTTTATGAAAAAGAATTTAAATTCACTATACATATTAAAAATATAATGCTAACAAAGTACATAGACTCGTTTTTTAACGACATCCAAAGTCATATTGGATAAAATTTTCGAAAATCGGCTAAATATTCAACAAATCGAGAACATTGCATTTTACTAAAAGATTTAAGTTATAGTTTACTAAAATTATTTGAAAATAATAATATACACAATCCAAAATCTATTCTATATAATTTTATAAATAAATTTAAGTATAGAGCGGAAATCAAATAAAACTATTCAGTTCAGTATTATTCTTATTAAGCCATTATAATTTTCGATGATCGACTAAGTGAGAAGTGGATCTATCTACATTAATAAAAATAGTAGCCAGCAGTACCCTATATGAATAACAATAACTTAGGAAAAATAATAATTTTTCGGGAAGCTTTCAAAAACTTTGAACGCGTATTTCTAGAAATGATGTTTTTTGTACGTCCTGAACCAAGGATTACCACTTACATTTAATTCTTTATATTTTTTCAATGGTTGTAGAATATTCAAAGATTTTCAAGTAAGGATTTCTGATTTCAGTCTACCGCAAGAGTCTGTAGGCTTGAAGTTGTTGAGCAATCTTTTTCGAGTAGTGGCCAAAGGAGAGCGCCATTTTGTAGCCGTCATTTTGAGTTTCGACTAACTAAAAATACAAATTTTGCCTTATTTAAGAACAATATCATGGGCGGGTCCCCTTGAGTTTGATTAAATTATCTGTAAAGTTTTCAAGTAGAAATTGATTCAGACTTACAGCTGGCCATTTATATATTATAAATAGTATCTGCATGATTGGGCTTTTGTAACCGCTAAAGCGATTCGGTTGTTAAAAAGTTGTCTCCAAATTGCTGTTCCTACTTCTTTATTGTATGAATTTTAACTACTAAACGCATATAACGTTACTCCTCAACAAACAGTTATTAACCATATCACTCTCTCAGAAAACTATTTCGTTCGCTACGCTACTGATATGCCAGCATTCCTCCGCTCTTGTATACCGATCGTTTTCACGCATGAAGTACTAGAAATTTCAGTGCGAATTGTTTTCCATGTCGAATAATCTGATTAGAGCTTTCTTGGTGAGGGTTTTGCTCCAACTATTTGAAAATTGCTTAGACTCGCTTATGAAAATCGAATTTTCCCTATAAATATTGTCTTTGAACAATTTTTTTTTAAATTTCACTCTTTTGTAATAATCGGCTGAAATAAACGATTAAGAAAGAGTGTGATATTCTTTTATTTGTAGCCAATCTAATGCTAGTTTTTGATGGATTTCTTCTTAATACTCGATGAAGATTCGAGACACAAGAAAGTACATATATGTTCTTATGGGATTGAAACCGAAAGGATTTAAGATAAACTTAAATAAAGCTGAATTTCTTCCAAACTTAACCTACGAGCTGTTCTTTCTTAATCTAAGAATCTATCGCGATCGGGCAACACTGTCACTGTCAATTTGGAGCGTGATTTCAACAAGAAAGTGTCTCATGCCACACAATACGACCGAACATGTCTTACTTGCGCGAAAAATTTCTCGGCTACAAAAAGACTCTCGCCTTGGCGATGCGTTTGCTTTTCATAAAATTTCAATTATTTATTTCTTTTAAATCTTTAAGATATGCTGGAAAATGATTTGATTTCACACTTTCTTATTTCTTCTTTCATAGATGTATTTTTTAAATTTTAGCAAACACATATGGATTTCGAGGAAGCTTTCTTACAACTAACCCTACTGCTACACAGACTTTCCTTTTTAGTATCGAGATACATACATTAATATTTCCATTTCCAATTGCTCAAATATAGACAAAACTGTAAACGCATTCAGCTGTACAAAAAAATGATCAAACAGTTTTCTATGTAAACTCCCGATATTTATTAAAGTTTTTTTTTTTAATTTTTTAATTGATTACAAACCGATTTATTGCTTCACTGAAATCTAACACCAATATTTTCATATTCCTGTCCGCACGCAAGTTTCATTTCTTGTAAAAGCTTTTCTTAAATTGATAAATCAAGGACAATCAATCAGATCGCTTTCCAATCAATTATATTAAAAAAGTCATATACTATTATATATTAAGCCAATTCCAAACTTTGAAAGTAATTGGCCTACAAACGCCGGTAATTACGTTAATGGAATTTTGATGGCATAACTTAATTCCATTTCCGCGTACGTATATATAAATATATATATATACATATTTATTTTAGATATCGCCGTACACAAATATTTCCTTGCAACGCTTTGCGGACTCATTTACCTGAATATCACTATAAAAACCACTTTAACCACCTGCTCATCCGAATATTTATTATTATTAAGAAATTACACAGAAAAATTGATTGTTATTTGTTTACGTTGAACAGCGCATATTATTGTACTATAAATATCGTATACACTAAGTTTGAATAACAACACTTGAAGTTAATGCCATTAGCCTAATTTCAACGCCATTATTTATTCGAAACAATCAATAATCAAAAATTAATTAGAATTATAAAATAAGCAAATTGAATTTAATTCAAATCAAATGCATTAAAAGCCCTTGACCAAAAATAAGTAAAAAGCTTTGCAAGGCTTATTATTATTCCTCGAGGAGTGGGGAGAGAATTATGAGTATACTTGTAGTTGTTAACAAACTTATGAGATATTATTGATATGACAGCGGATGTACTCGTATGTATGTGTACACGTATACTCATACAAATTGTTCAACTAGAGTATCAACTTCAAATGGAATAATTAGCTTCGGTTGTATAGCGGTAATATTGTTGGAAAAAGAGAATATATCTGTAAATTTTCGATTTTTTCATGATATTTGATAGTAGTTAATAATATTTTCGAAAAACTTCTCTCTTTGTATACTTATCGTATACATTAAATGGTACATTAACTTTGCTCCGAAGAAACTAAGTACCACAAGTAAAAGAGCGAGGCCCATAAAATTTATACTGATAAAACCAGAATGAACAGCTGAGTTAATTAAGATAAGCTCGCCTGCATTTGTTTGCATATATACGACTGATTGTAATGGTAATGAATAACTGTCATACAATAATAACCACACCTTTATTTATATAAGTAATTACATTGAAAATTGTTGAAATCGGCCGACTATAACATATAAAGAAATTTATAGAATCTCATTGAAAAATTTTGAATTCCATTATTAAACACACACCAAAGATCCTTTGTCGGTTACTTGTAATTTGGTGCCTTTTTATTCTTCTCAACCCGCAAAATAAAGCAAAATAGAATAAATTAATGTAATATTAAATACAATAAAATAAATTAATATGAAACAAAAAAATTATATGATATGATACAGAATAAATAAAATAAAAAAATGTAAAAAAATTTAATATAAAATAAAGTAAAATACGATGAAATAACACAAAACAAAATTAGCCCAAAAACGGAAAAAAAATAAAGTAAAATAAACTAAATTAAAATGAAATATAATAAAATAAAATAAAGCAAAAAGAAATAAAATAAAATAAAAAAATTAAAAAGAAATTAAATAAAATAAAACAAAATAAAATAAATAAAAATATAAATTAGATTAAAATAAAACTAAATGAAATAAAAAATAAGAAAAAAAATATTATAAATTAATAAAAAAATTAAAAAAAAAAGAAAATATTAAAATGAAAAAAAAAAACAAAACAAAATAAATCTAAAACCGAAGCAAAATAAAAAACAATAAAATAATAAAACATAATATAATAAATTAAAGTAAATAATATAAAATAAAATGAAATAAAAAAAATAACAAATAAAACAAAGTAAAATACAAAAAAATATTATTAAAAACGAAAAAAAATAAAATAAATCAAAATAAATCAAAAAAACCGAATCAAAAAAAATGCAATAAAAAAAATAAAATGTAATATAATAAAATGAATAAATATAAAAAAATTAAATAAAAAATAAAACAATGTAATAAACAAAACAAATTATTTAAAAGGAAAAAAAAACTAAATAAGTCAAAAAATCCAGGCAAAATGAAATTAAATACAATAAAAAATTAAGATAAATATTATAAAAAATGTACACAAAAATAACATAAACTTGAATAAAGTATTATAAAGCAAAATAAAAAATATCAAATAAAAGAAAAACTAAAAAATACATAAAAAATAAGTAAAAAAAAGCATAAATAGAAAGAAAATAATTAAAACAAACTTATATAAATCAAATAAACTGAAAAAAAATTAAATAAAGAAAAATAACATAATATGATATAAATAAAATTAAATTTAATTTAAAAATATTAATTAATATAAAATAAAATAAATCTATAATGAAATTTTCAGCCAAGCAGCGTTATGTAAAAGATATTATCGAATTCTCAAAGAATAATAGGAAAGAAAAAAGTACAATAAAATAATCAAACTTCTATTTTTATATTTCTATTATAATTGCATGTCAGAAAAATATGGGATGTGAGTTTCATTTATTATGTAAATGTCCATGCATTTATAAAAGAAACCAATTGCTATTCATAAATTCATTGAAACCGGCTAATTGAATTTCCTATTTGACAAATACAATGTATGGCTTATTGATTTAATCGTACATTGCAAGATAACAATTTTAATGGATATAAAGTTGGTTAATCAACTTTTTTTCTTCCAAGCAATTATTAGGTTCCGAATCAACGACTAAGCCAAATAAAAATCGTCCGCATTTATAGCATTAGTTTGATTTTGAGATAATAATTTTCACATTTATAATATACATATATGTGAATGAATTTTTCAATAAATAAAGAAAAATATTCCTTGAACAGAATTGATCCAACAAATTAAATCAAACACTGAATCGAAGGCTTATTAAATTTTGATACTATTCGAATGAACGGTTCATATTTAAACTTACCAAATATCGCTAAGCAGGAACATAGAAATATCCATTTGCAAGCTACGGCCGCTGCTGACCCCATTGATATGCTGTTAAAGTTGCTAGTTATTTTGCTGCCAACTAGGATATTGGTAATACTGAATACACGTACCCTTGTCATGTGTAGAGCTACGTTCCAATCTAATAGAATACAAACATTTCATTCACTGGAAAAATGTAAAAATTTACTCTTTCCCTTTGATTCGATTCAGTATACACACATGCATAGACCTATATGCTCCTATTTGAGGCTTTCATTTGTGTTTCCTGTTCGGATTGAGGGTTACGGTGTATTCTGTTGAGTTTCATGTTAAAACAAATTTCGCTTTTTATTTATCGGATTTTTTACTGTAGTTTTCGTTTAGTATATCTAATGTTTTACTTTGTTTATATACGTAGATATGTGAGTAAAGAGACATTGATTGAGTCTTTGCTTATTTCACAGAACGGTGTTTTTTTTTATTTATTGTGGCTGAAGAAATTTCATAATTTGTCGAATTTTAAAGTAAGTTTAGGATCTCTGAAAAAGAAAAATTGATTTAAATACATAAAAAATAGGTGCAGTCTATTATATAAGAGAAGAAGAAAAGAGAAAAAATTTGCCTCAAATATAATCTGTTAATTAATTTTTACAGATACAAATTCCAAAAAAAAACTTTTAAAATTTCTATATAATATATGATAAAATTGCTTATAATTGCATATTCGTTGTTATCATTTGTGAATTTTGGTTTCAGTTGTTAACCAAAACAAAAGAAATTATGAACTAGCCATTAATATTCGGTATAGTAAAAAGTAAACCATTATTTTGGCTATACACGGTGTGTCCCAAAAATAACTTAACTTTTTGGATATAAAATAAAATACACATTATGTTGTCTTTGAAAGTTAATATTTATTCAAAATAGGTGTTGAATCAAAACACAACGTTTGGAACGATCAACCAGCGCATGCAAAGATTTTTTTATGTAATTTATGGAAATATTCTTCAGTATCTCGGTTACGGCTGCTTGAATGGCTGGGATATCATCATAAAATGCTCCTTTCATCTTGGTTTTCAGTTTTATAAATAAAAAATAGTCATATGGTGATAGATCAGACGAATACGGAGGATGGTCGTGGAGAGAAATCCATTTTTTCATAAAAAATTCGAAAGTATCTTTTTAATGTTGCAAATTTTCAATAGATGGCGCTCTATGTTGTATGATTCAAATATAAAGTTCGGTTATTTTTGGGACACACCGTGTAAGTGGCTTCAGTGATTTGTATCTCGCGTTCTATTGGTGCCATTGGATTACGGTAGATGGCGTTAGAAAAAAAATATCTTGTACTAAATAAAACATTGAATGCAACTTTTGATCACTTAACTCAGTTGCTTTTGAGGACATGTCACCTATAAGCTATATTATTAAAGTTTTCTTCGTTGAATGCAATTCAGGCGGCTGAAAATGGGAAAAATATATATGGCCCTAATACTGATACAGTTTTGGCTCCGTCGGTTTGGTTCCGGTAATTTTGATATAAAAGATTCTCCACGGTATGGAAGGCTAATTGACGAAAACATTAATAAAATAATGTAAATCATCGAGACCGTCCTGTGAGCGCTACATCAAATGCCCAGGAAATAAACATTGCAAAAAATATATTTTGAACCCACTTCGAAAAAACTCGATTTATGGGTGGCACATTAGTTAACAAGAAGAACTTTTATAGATGGCAACCCCTGCGGGTTAGGGACTCAAGAATTTGCCCGCGGTAAGGCATGCCTGTCGTAAGAGGAGACTAAAATCCAATAGTTCCCGCGACAGTCGGGTCTTTATAACGGAACGACCCGGATTTTTATCCGGCCAAGGACTGTCACTCCCGCAACATTCCCCAAAAAGTACTTTGGGGAATAATTTTGCGGTTACAACAACAACAACAACAACATAGGCAGATCCTATAGAAGGTCAGTTAGCCGGCAATAATGGTATTCAAGCTAGGAGTGCTGACTAGGGAGGATTGGTTGTGTGTTTGGTGGGATTGACAACGAATCATACCCTATGTGCTGGTTTGCTACAGCCAGACCACTCACAACAAAAGTGCCTTGCTAGAAAGCCTGCTTTGAAGGTTGTTATCATTTCAACTTATACTCCAAACCTAGCGCAAAGTTGAATAATCAGTTTAAGGTAAGATTTCTCCTACATATGGTAAACAAAGCCTAAAATTTCATTGAAAAATAGTGCATGACTCTTAACTTTATCTTTATTCTATTTAGTGGAATTAAGCAAAAACTAGTTTGCAGACTTACATTCATATAAGAAAACAGGTTTCTTCTCATCCGCATTTATTCTTTTCTCTTTTCAATGTAACAGTTAACATTTTTCTTAGTTGTTGTAAACTATTTCAAACAGTATCAAACTAGTATTTTTCTGAATGTAATCAGAATATTTTCCGAAATAAATATCGATTTAGTTCTCAACTAGTTCATTTTATAACAGAGCATGTTTCTTTTATATATGTATTTGGTGAATGTAAGCTTCAAGTATTGAGCAACTACGTTCCTTTAATGGTTCTTTTATGTATATTTAATGCGATGTAGCAAAATCAACGTAACTTTATGATTTTTCTTATACAAAGCGACGCTATTTTATATAGAAAAAAATCAATATTCAGTTGCATCTTCACTGTCGATGATACCAAGGAAACCAAAAGCAAAAAAGAAAAAAGAGTCTTCTGCTTTATCTGTCAGCGCGTTGATCTTAGTGGCATATAGATTGCTTTTTAACGTTAAACCAAATAAGTTAAAAATATAATTTAATTAGCTCTTCCATTAGGCGCATACAAAAAATTGTTCAATCATTGCAAGGTAGAACCTGCCATTCACAGTAACATTGTGGGCCTCGTCGAGTATGAAGAAATTTAAACAGAGGAACGGGAAAATATTTCCTGAAACAGTCGGTTATCACATCGAAATAGTCGGTTATCATAAGGCCCAATCGCACTTCTGAACCAAAAAATGTACAAGACAGTAAGTTGATTATAGCGTCGAGAACGGTTTTTAAATATTTGGTAATTCTCGATGCCTCAAATGCGAAAATATAATTAGTTACGTATGTACAGAGCTATGAATGGACAGCTGGCTTAAGTTGGTGTGTGAGCTGGACTCATTTTTGTTGTAGGTTTTATCTTTTTAACACATCGTGTGGTTTATTTTCATGAATTCCTCATAGTTTTGTAATTCAGTGAAATGTTATGGATATATGGGACATATCTGAGAGTAAAAAGATAAGCCGGACCAGCATTGATTTGAGCGGTTTTCCAAAAGATGGCTCTACTAGTAATATTTCGTGTCGTGTTCATCTGTGGCTTCATTACTTTAACATGAAGAAAAGTGTTACCAAAAGCAAAGTGGCAAACAAATTTCAAGACGAAGAGTTGGAGTATTGCTCGACGCAGATGCATGCCAGAGACAAGAAGAGCTTGCGAAAGTATTAGGAGTTGATCAAGCAACCGTTTCCAGTCGATTCAAATCATTTTCCCACAGTAAGGTCTTATTTTTCGAAAAAAATCGCATTAATGCGTACACCAATACAATTATCTCCAGTACGAATGGCTCTGTTTTTCTAAGTATGTGTATAAATCTTTTCATAATTCCTAAATAACTTTATTCCCCGCACACAGCTCTTAACAAAATAGCAAAAAGCAACCACAAAAAATACATTAATAAATCCAAACACATTTTCAGTGCAACCCTTTGAATATATTATAGTTTATTATCTCAATTAAAACTGCCGAAATGACAGTCGGAAACACTTACAAATTGCTAGTGCGCAAAACAAGAAATATTATAGTTCATAAAAAACATAATTTGAGGCTTTCACTTCCACCTCTGAGTTGGACACGAAGAACATTAAAGCCAAGTGAAAGGTGAAAAGTGAAAGTGGAAAAGTAGGCGCCTACAATTTCCCAATATTAAGTCCTACCAAGTACAACTCCGAGTAATATAACGGCATAATATTTGTACATATAAAATTTCGCTTAAGGCTAGAAGGATTTTTGTGCACGTGTTGGTGTTACACGCTTATCATAAATTAAATATTTTATATCGCCACAGGCTGAGAATAATCCACGTGAGCATGAGAAAAATAGCACGATGCTATTTTAGTATGCAAAGCAAGGCTAGAATAGCAGAAAATAAGTATGAGACGAGTACTTCCAAGCACGAAAAGTGAAGGTGAGTAGGAAAAATCAATGAAAGCGAAATTTGAGTGAAATCGTAAATAATCCTTTACAGCTGCAAAGTAGGCTGGAATTGCTGAAAGTTTCTCAAGGCGATGGCAGAGCAAATAAATATATGAGCAATAAATTCTAGCCGAACAGGTGAATAAATGCAAGGTGCAAAAATAGCTTGGCGAAAAGGGTTATAAAGTAGCAGCATTAAATTTTGCTACCCTTTCCCCAAAATAAGTATGTACTCAGTTTTTTGTGTTGAATATCGCTACAAATATAAGTTTTTGTGGAAAAATATTTTAAATATCTTTTATTTTTCAGTATTTTTTGCTTGGTTATGACATACATTTCTTTGGCGAACTTGAGTGTGATTATGTTAACATCTTACCTTATTCTTATTTTACATATATGCAAAGAATTAGTGCTTTTCACATTATTTATTTGTGCAGAAATTGCGTAAAAACAGTAATGTTGCAATATTCTTCACGCTACAGACAAACAAGGAGTGTAGTAGTGGAGCGTGGTCGCATATAGATGACTGGCAAAACTGGGAATGTACTCGTATTATGTGAGACCAAATGTGTCAGCCAGTTTCACCCAAGCTAACCCAACATGCAGAAAGTTTCATATGAAAACTCCTGCCAATCTGAAGCTGTGACAAAGGTCTCTTAAATGAGATCGGAAGATTATTAAAAACGATTCTTCGATTTTTACTACCTAGAAAATAGCTCTAGAGTAAATCAAAGAAAATCTTGTGGTCCTGTGCAATATAAGCCGTACAATTTTTGGTGAAAATTGTCACTCTCCAGGAATCGGGTACTCTTCACTGTGAGTTAGAATCAAAAGGTCATTTGTTCATCGACATTCAAAAATATGTTACAATCAGCTCTTCGAAGAGATATGTTACGTGTAAACATCGTGTTTGCAAAAAGACCTGCTAAACTGCATATGCTCCCGATGGGAATGTCATCCAAAGGTGATCGGTTTATTTAAAATTGGGACTCAATATGTATTTTTCGTGAAACGGTAAGCATTCTTTTCAAGTGGAAAATTGTGTGGCTTATCATGCCAAAATGTAAAAATTAAATAAAGTCTAGAGCTTCGTTAGGTAGAAATGTTAGGCAAGCGTCAATGCGCCCAGCCTATGGCTTCTTGTATATAAATACAAAGGCTATCCATAAAAGCGACTCCCAGTGAGCTTTAGTCTTCGGCAACTTAAAGCAGAGAAATCACAAAATAATTGAAAAATCTTTCTCCGTGTCTTTACTGTAGCTCGTACAAGATATTCTGAAAGATGTTCACCTCTCTGCAAGCCATTAAATGAGACAACGTCCTTTCCGTATCTCTACTCCTTTAATAAATTGTATGCCATTAGAGAGAGAAAAAAACTGAGACTTGTGGAAAAAGCGACTTTTTTAGTCATTACAGTCAATGTTCCGGTTTTAGCTCTATACCAAAAAATATACTCTCTTTGAACTCATCTTTTTTATTTCAGCTTCACTTTTTCTGTAGCAAAACATTGTGAATCTCTTTCGTAAGTATTCATTAGTAAGGATGTGGTTATTTAAGGAAGCCAAGCTCCACGTTTAGGTAAATTCACACTATTTTGCTCTTGCACCTTACATAGCCAAGTTGATAGTTTGTATTGTCTGAGCGGACGGCTGCTATTTCCGGATGATCGTTAAGCCAATGTTCTTCCAAATCTGGTCAGAACAAAAACCAAAAATTATTAAAAATTAGTTAAAATAAAAAAATTAAGTTTTATTTTCGATGCGGTTGCCTCTCGGAAGGAAATGTGAAGTACTTCGAGTGTATTTGTGGTATCAGCCATTCGGTGGTGACTTAGAATAAACTGTAAGTCTGTCCATTACTTTAGTTAGGTTTTAAAGAAAATTAAAATTAAATTAAATTTTAAAAAAAATTATGAGTTTTATAAAAAAAGAGTATAATGTTCAAATTTGAAAAATTTATTCATTGCACATTTCGTATATTTACACCTGAAAATTAATGCCAAAAAAGTTCTTGTTGACTCTTTGGCTCTAACTTTGCTTTTAAGCTCTTCTGTTCTAGTCTTACCTCCCTTGCAGTCTTATTAAACACATGCATTATTAATTATTATTCTTTTCTATTTAAAGATATAGCCTGAATGCGAAGAGGCCTGAGTAAGATGTTAGAGACTATTATTTCCATAAAAAAGTGGTTGCTCCTATGATGCTAAAGTATGTAAAGCTTATAACTTCCTCGAAAAGTAATCAAGTATGAAGCTATTAATCTAAAACTATATAAATTAGGAAATTAAAAACTCACATTTATTGAAGAGTTCAAGATAAGCTCTAATAAAAATAATTAACTTCGTTTATAGCCATCCACTAATCATTTCCCTCATGCATAATTTTTTTTTTATTTCAATAAAAAAAGTACTAAAATATTAAATAATTTCACTACAATTACGGAAAATTAAAATAATCAAAACAAAAGAATAGTTTTTTGCCAAAACTTACAGAGAATTTAATGCTAAATCCTTTGCACTAATTGCTGCTACACACAATCCTCACAAACACACGCGATCATTAAAAAGCGCACACGAACCAACGTTTTAACTATGCGTATATGTGTGCATAGGTAAAGCGTTTCCAAGTATAACTCGCACCATAAAATCGTGCCAACTTGCGTCCTAAATGGCAAGCACTAAAATTGTGGCACGCACATGCTGTTAACATAACCGAGCGCACGATAACCGCAAACGTACGCAGCCAGTTGTTTTGATAGTTAGTTGGGACAGTTAGTAGCTTGTTGTTCGCAAATTACAGTTGCCTTGGCTCGAACGGCTGGTTGGCTCGTTGGCTGACTAGCTGCCTGATCGTTCGACTGTCCGACTGATGGCTGACTGATTGAGTGTGTAAGTGTTAGTGGTGTGTGGCTTTAAACAGCTATCGCTGCTGCCGCAGACACCATCAACAATAGGGATCTGAAAGTCGAACTCACGTCAACCGCAATTGGAGCGACCGTCAACGTCGACTTTATCTCAGCCGGTTTAGCCAGAACAGCCGCTACCGCCACCACCGCCATTACTACAAAGAAGTAATAAATTATTTGTTGTCACGCATTTAACGTTATGAATGTTGTTTTTGGTATGTTTGCTTTCACTATTTTCATTCATAATTTATACATTTAAATCTGTCGGGACCGGCACATGCCTAACCGCTAAGTGAATAAAGCCACTAACCAGGTACTTTTACAAGTACAAGAAGGTGCTACAAGTAAGATATTACGTATATGTAGTGGTAACTTTCACACACACGTCCGCAAATACGTTTAAATTTTTTCGAAGGAAAACGGGCGAATCAGCCGTAAAAGTACACAAGAAATATTTCACAAAAACTTTGAAGAATTTTATACTCTTTTCTTTATTCGTTTTCTTTTTCAGCTTTTCGGATTAAGATTTATGTTTTTACATCAAGCGACCGCACAATCAACCCAACGTTGGATGTGATAAAAGGATTGCTTTGCCTCGCCAACATACACGCACCGTTGAGCACACGAATAGAAGTCGTAAATGTTACACTTTGTTCGCTTTCTCCGTATTTGTGCTCGTTGCCACTTATCGTTATCGCTTATATCATTCGACAGCACGCGCGTCACGTCAAAAACCGTAATTTTAACCGCACAGGACTAACTGCTGCAACCAACTAAAAAGCTCTACTCTCGTTGTATACAATTTTACCTGCCATCATTGTCTGCATGACCGAATGTGTAGGAGTGGAGACGAATTCGAAAAGGTGCAGCCGAATCCGCTTCAAAGAAGTGTAATCACGACAATATTCGGCTTACTCGACAGAATAACACGCGCACTTCGGCTGTGCTTTGAGCGAGTGTAAATTGAGGTTCGTGCGCAATGTAGACTTTTACTATTTGTAAATTACGCTTATATGTGAAGCTTTTACTTTCGTCACTAAACTCTAATCGAAACATGAGTCGCTGCATCTATTGTCCTGAAATCGTTTGACATTCAAGTGCAGCGAACCTGAAGTGCTTGCTTTGAGAAAAGTTCATAGCTTAAATGGAATACGAGAGGTTTTAAGCTTATTCCAGTAAAAGAAAATTAGTGAGGCGAGAGAGAGAGAGAGAGAGCGCAATTTATTATTTGTTGCTGAGTAGTATTTTCTATCATTTTGCCTGAAGCTTACCTTGCTATAAAAACTTTCTGAAACATTTCAGTACACAATGCACATGCAGAAGATATATTTATTAAGCACAAAAATACTGGGAAATTAAATACCACTCAAGCGAATTTTAAATTATAGCGAAGTATTTTAAAAGTCACATTAATTTATTTCCTCATAACATTTTAAGCTATACCGCGCTCGGATTTTTATATAAAAATATCAGTAATTAAATAATTTTAAAATATTAATTTAGACGAAATTGAATTGCGCTTACTTTGTTGTTTTGTTATATAAGGTTAATATATATTTTATGAAATCCTTCTTATATTTAATTATGCTAATTGCATTTTGCCTTGGAGAGTCGCAGGAAAGGGCACATCGATACAGAGCTGACCGCAGTTTCAGCTCCTGACCTTCTTTCTTTATACACAAAAACCTCGGACCAAAATGAATAGTACACCGAGCAACCGATCGAATCAAAGACAACAAATTAAGCAAAAATATAAAAATAAAAATATATATGTTGGGTGTATGCATTAATTCGAGCGGTTTTTTCCTAAAATTAAGACTATTTTGTGAAAAATTATTTATATCGTCTAAAAATGGTTGCTTGATCAACTCCTAATACTTTTGCAAGTTCTTCTTGCGTCTGTCATGCATCTGCGTCAAGCAATGTATCCAATTCTTCATCTTGAAATTTTTTTGGCTGTTCGTCGTCTAAGTCGGACAAGTTGGCATATTTCTTCGGCTAAAACATGGTCACCATAAATGTCCAGTAAAATACGATGGCTTTGGAACGGGAAAAAAAATAACAACAACTCTACTAACTACTTCTTAGCACTGCACCAGATACCAATCACTGTCACCCTTCGTTTCTAATTAACACTCGTCTTACGTTCTTCGAAAATAGTCCACTTTTGACTACTGCACTGAGTTCGCTTGAGATAATCTAAAAAATATTAAATTCAAAAATCATACTCACCGAATCCTACGAACACTGACAACTTCACAACTGCTCTAGCAATTCATAGCCGAATTTCGAGCTTTTCATTTTGGCCAAACCATAGCCTTTCGAATGGTTTGCTGACCACGTGGCTATTGCGGTTGCTGTTAATATTTTAACTGTCCTGTTATATTTCAATTTAAATTTTTGTCTAAATTAAATAAAAAAATACTTTATTTCAGCTTATAATAAAAAAAAAATATTTATAAGCATTACTCAAAACATTAAATGTTTATAAATGCTTATAGATGTATATACTTATAAACTCTTTCCTGTCACCCACTTTTCAGCAGACATATCATTCAGATCGAGTGTCACCATCATTAGCACACAAATTAATATAATAGATATTTGAAAACTCGTTATCGCATTTCATCTAAACTCATTTCACACATCGCCTTTTTGCCTCCTTCCAGTCATCTTCTGCAAAAGCTTTCCTTTTGTAGCAACTTTGCAAAAGTACAAATTTTTCTTTAGCCACATTGCCATGCTAAGAATAGTGAACAGAATTGAGGGGCACACAGAAAATAAAATTGAAGAAAAATCCCTTAACATATTTTTTGTGTCATTTTTATTCAAAATTTAAAAAGAATAAAATTTGATTTATTCAAGTTAAAATTAATTTAAAAAAAAACTTTACTTTTTTCTTTTTTATTGTGCAAACCTTTGAGCCTGCCATAAGCTTTATGATTTACTACCTTGCTTTTCCCAGTGTATTCATTTATCTGGTATGTTTGCAGATATGATCTATATCTATTTATACAAAGATATGTAGACATTACCATCAGTTACTTAATTCTCTCTTGTTTCAAGTGTTATTATTACGTAGTTGATTTTGTCTACCATAGCACTTTTGTCTGCTCATTCACTTCACATTATTCTCTTATTCGTTCATTCATCCATTTGCCTATTCAAATGTGTGCAAGTAATCATTGAAATTGTAAGAGTTGCCATGATAGTAGTCATAATGTCCGTGTACGAATGTGTATGAATATGTGAAAAGTGAATAATGGAAAAACATTTTTGTAGAGTTTTTGTTTTTAAAATCGTTTTCTTATTATTGCCTCATTTGGGAGTTTTCAAGGAAGGCTCAATGAAGAAAAACTTACATTCGAGCATAATAAAACCCGGGCATAGTAATGTTATCAACATACACTGTATATTTTTACTCACAAGCAAGTACACATCCGTACATAATTAATTTACTCAAAAGAAAATTTTACGTTACCAACAAATTCTTCATCATAATAATCAAAATTGGCATTTAGTCGTAAAAGTTCTTGACGTAAAATTAGCTAAATGTAAACTGTAAATATGTACATTATAAATATGTATGCGCTCTATTTAATTTTAATGCATATCAATTTAATATCAACCTGCAAAGGGTTACTCACATACATACAAATTGTTTTCAAGTTCACCTGACGTACATGGCGTATGAGTAACATTCCATTGAGATCCACTCACACGTGTTTTATATTCACATGCATGCATATACCTACACAAATATGTATGTTGTCTGTAAATATCTGTTATTTATATAGTATTATCGTGTATGTTATTATTTTGTTTTGTTTGTCTAGACAAAATTATTCAATTATTAAAGACGCGTTTATTTTGACAATGGCATTAAAATTATAATTTCAGTCAGAATTGTAGAGTAATTATAAACTTATTTTCGGTCATTTCGTACTACTCAACAAAAGAATATTTAATAAAATGAATAAACCTCAAGCAATTTTTTAGTAAAAAATATAAATTAAGCGCAGTTAGAGTTATTTACAATACAAAGTTCTATGTCAAGAATTTAGTCAAAAGGTATTGCGTCTTAATTAAAGCAGTTATTTAGTGTTTCAAGTTAATTGCTAGCAACTAAGATTAAATATAAAAATATATATAAATTTCGCTTTGCAACTGTTGAAGCGATTTTCGGCCGAGCTTCTCCTACAATTTGTGGTTTTGCGTCTTGATGTTTTTCAACAAATGAAGGCGCTTACAATTTATACTAAGCCGCCTTCGAACGGTTGATCTTTTTTTACGAAAAGCTTTATTTTAAGGCAGCAATACACTAGGAGAGGTTGCCATTTCCTGTCGAGGGGCGATCGCAATCAGAAAATTTAGCTTATTTTTTATTTATTTTTTTTTTCCTACAAATTTTTGGATGTTAGTACGACACCAAGGTTTGAACCCTAGCCTTTCGAATGGCAGTGATTTTGAGTATGTTCCCTGCAAACAGACTTGAGATATATATTTGACATTGGATGTCAAAAGTGGAGGTTACAATTTTTGTACTACTTTTTTACTACTCTCAAGCTTGAAATATTTTAACATTAAAATACAAATTTATTGATGGAGTATCGAGCTTGTTAGAAAACCGTTAAATAAAATATTACGATCACAATGTTGGATATTTCTATTCCAATACGGTAGAATTGCAGGTATTTATTTAAAGGTTATGCAAACCTAGCTCTTACAAGACGCCTTAATTTTTTTTTTTTTTTTTTTTTTTTTGTAAAGCTGGAAACCTGAGAAAGTGGATTAGGTCTATATTTCGTTTTATATCGTCGATTTAACTTCACTTAGCTTAGCTTAAATTAACTTAAATAAACTTAGCTTAACTTACTTTAAGACAATTTAATTTAGTTTAACTGCACTTAACTTAACGAAGCTTAATCAACTTTATTTAAATTTGCTTAACTTAGCTTAATAAAACCAGGCTTGATTACATTTAACTCAATTCAATTGTTAAAAACCTAATTTAACTTACCTTAGCTTAACTTAACTTAATTTAACATAACCTAACTTAACTTAACTTTATTTATTTAAATATAGCTTAACTCAACTTACTTTAACGTATTTACTTAACGTTAAGTTACTTAATTAAATTTAACATAGCTTAACTTAACTTAACTTTACTTGCTATTACATTCCATAACTTTATTTAATTTTGCCTAACTATTAAAACCAAGCTTGATTTCCCTTAACTTTATTCAATTTATTAAAAAAATAATTAACCTCGACTTAATTTAACTTAACTTAGCTTAACTTAAGTTCATTTAACAAAGCTTACTTAACGTAATTCTATTTATTTTAATATAACTTAACTCAACTTATTTCAGCGTAACTTAATTGAACTGAATTTCACATAAGTTAACGTAATTTAACTTAACCAAGCTTAACTTAACGTAAAGTAACTTAACTTAATTTAACTTAACTTTACTCAACTTAAAGTTACTTAACTTAATTTAACTTTACTTTAATTGACTTGATTTTAAAAAATGTTACTTCATATTTTTAAACATAACTTAGTAAAATTAACTTAATATAATTAAATTCAGATTAACATTACTTAAGTTAACTTAACATAGCTTAGCTTTATTTAATTGAACATTGCTGAAATGAAGGTAACTCCATTTCGTCTAAATAAAATTATTAATACAGTTTACCGTAACTTAGCTGAATTTATACTAACTTAATTTAACTTAACATATTTTAAAATATA